ACCTCAGCCTCCCGGGTTCGCCCAAGCAATTCTCCTGACTGAGCCTCCTGAGTTAGCTGGGATTACAGGCGCCTGCCACCATGCCTGGCTAATTTTTGTACTTTTACTAGAGATGGCGTTTCACCATGTTGGTCAGGCTGGTCTCGAACTCCTGACCTCGTAATGCGCCCGCCTCGGCCTCCCAAAGTGCTGGGATTACAGGCGTGGGCCTGGGACAATTTTTCACTTGCCCTGCTCCAGAGTGATTTCGTGGGTTCAGCCTTGCCATTCATTTACTTCGCTGCCCAAGGCTGCCACCTGGTGGAGACCGCTCACCTTTCGTTTCTGAACTTGGTTTCAGAGCACTTTCACATTCATTTAAAAAAAAACACCAAATACTCTTACAACCTGTATGTAAGTTTAGTATTATTATTTCCACTTTCTAAGGAGAAAATGGGGTCTTAGAAGAAAGAATTTGAAGGTACCTGGAACTGCATTTGGTATCTTTTTCCTCCATTCAGCAAGACCCCAAAATGCTGTCCTCTGAGCGTGCTGGGTTTGAGCCCAGTTTAAGTCCTGGCTCAGCAACTTTCCCGAAATGAGGTCTTTTCGCAGAACTGAATTTGATCATTACCAGGCCCTCTGTTATTCTGAACATTTGTACTTGGTGGAACTATTCTGTGCAGTGAATGTGTTGAGGTACTTCCAGAAGGAAAGTGATGGCTGATACCATTCCAACTTGTGTGTGTGTGTGTGTGTGTGTGTGTGTGTGTGTGTGTGTGTATGTGTACATGTTAAGGTTTAATGGGCTTTTACAATCCCCAAGGCCTGAGCTTAATTAAATTTTAAAATCCAGGCAGCGGTAGCTCCCTAGACTACTTTAAATCCATCCATCGAACACCTCACAGAGAAGTGTACGAGGAGAGCCTCCCTCCAGGGTGCACCATAGCCTGGCCATTCATTAGGTATGTGATCTCATCTTCATCACTGGGAAGACAGGGCTAAAAAGCAACATCTATCTCTCGGGTTGATGGGTGCAGCAAACCATCATGGCACTTGTATACCTATGTAACAAACCTGCACGTTCTGCACATGTATCCCAGAACTTAAAGTATAATAATAATAATAAAACTTTTAGAAAATTCAGGACACTCTGGGCTTTACATTTATTTATTTATTTATTTATTTATTTATTTATTTATTTTTAAAAAGAATTGGCTGGGTGCGGTGGCTCATGTCTGTAGTCTCAGCACTTTGGGAGGCCGAGGTGGGCAGATCACGAGGTCAGGAGTTCGAGACCAGCCTGACCAACATGGTGAAAACCCGTCTCTACTAAAAACACAAAAATTAGCCAGGCGTGGTGGCTGGTGCCTGTAATCCCACCTACTCAGGAGGCTGAGGCAGGAGAATCGCTTGAACCCAGGAGGCAGAGGTTGCAGTGAGCTGAGATTAAGCTATTACACTCTAGCCCGGGCGACAGAGTGAGACTCCATCTCAAGGTGGTGGGGTGGGGGAAAAGACTTATTTAATCTTCCATCAACATCCTGATAATCTAGTGAAAATTCCTTACTGAGATCATAGGAATGGCTGAACCCATCAAATCTTCATTGGAAAGTTCTCCGGTTTGTCCATCTGGAATCTGCCCTGACTGAATGCACCTTTAAATTCCTTAGTAGACCTTTTATTCTAACTAATCCTCACACTTCAGGACTTCGGACGAGTCCCTGACATTTTACCCAGGTAAGAGGTAGAACTTAAGCTGTGAATTCAGAAAAAACATCTGTTAATTTGCTTTCTGTGGCCCTACATCAGTCAGTTGGTGTATACCTCAAACTCTTCTGCACCTTGTTAATTAAATTTTTAGAGTAAGGGGAAATCCTAGGTTTAGAATTATTTGATTTATTTCAAGGTAGAATGCATTTTGGATTCCAAGTTAATTACCATCAATAAACTTATGCAAAATTCACTCTCAAAGCGGTGTCTATCTCAAAAGGTGTTGTGAAGACTCAGACAATTCGCATAAAGCACTCAGCAACAAGCCCCTACATCATGTGAACTTTGTAGGAATGAACGTTCTTGTCTATTACTGTTAAAGAGCAGCCCTAAGCGGGTGTGATGGAGGTTGCATTCATGAGACATTCACTGCATTCATTATGTGCATGAAGGGGGTAGCCAGTGGAGTGGGTGTTTCTTTTTAAAAACGTTCTTTTAGGGCCAGGCGCGGTGGCTCACACCTGTAATCCCAGCATTTTGGGAGGCCAAGGTGACTGGATCACTTGAGGTGAGGAGTTCAAGACCAGCCTGGGCAACATGGCAAAACTCACCTCTACTAAAAATACAAAAACTAGCCGGGCGTGGTGGTGCACACCTGTAACCCCAGTTACTCGGGAGGCTGAGGAGGGAGAATCACTTGAACCTGGGAGGCGGAGGCTGCAGTGAGCCGAGATCGTGCCGTTGCACTCCAGCCTGGGTGACAGAGTGATACTGTGTCTCAAAAAAAAAAAAAAGTTCTTTTAGTCGCAGTTCCTAACCTCGGTGATATTCTGCAAGTCCGTCTTCCCAGGCAAGAGGTGTGTGCTGGAAAGGGGTGTAGGCATTTTGAGTTATCCCACAAAAGGAGACACCACAAGCTTATGGAGCAATTGGATACATGACAAGGGGCTGTCGCTCTCAATTAGGAATCATCACTTGAACAGACTTTTTTTCTAAAGAAGATACACAAATGACCAATAGCACATGGAAATATGCTGAACATCACTAGTCATCAGGGAAATGCAAATCAAACCACAATGAGATACATCCCACACCCACTGGGATGGTTATTAATAAAACAAAATAGAAAATAACAAATGTTGGAGAGGAAGTGGAGAAATTGGAACCGTTGGACACTGTTGGTAGAAATGTAAAATGGTGCACTGCTATGGAAAACAGTAGGGATGGCTCCTAAAAAATTAAAAATAGAAGTACCCTATGATCTGGTAATACCACTTATAGGCATATACCCTGAACAACTGGGAGTCAGGTCTTGAGGAGATATTTAGACATCCATGTTCATAACAGCATTATTCATGACAGGCAAAAGGTGGAAATAACCCGTGTCTTTTGATGGATGAATGGATCAACAAAAGGTGATTTACACATACAATAAAATGTTACTTAGCCTTAAAAAGGAAGGCAGCCAAGCATGGTTGCCCATACCTGTAATCCCAGCATTTTGGAAGGCCAAGGCAGGCAGATCACCTGAGCCCACAAGTTCAAGACCAACCTGGGCAACATGGCTACAAAAAAATACAAAAATTAGCTGGGTGTGGTGGCACACACCTGTAGTTCCAGCTACTTAGGAGGCTGAGGTGGGAGGATCGCCTGAGTCCGGGACTTGGAGGTTGCAGTAAGCCAAGATTGCACCACTGAACTCCAGCCTGGGTGAGAGAGGGACCCTGTCTTAAAAATGAAAAGAAAAAAAAAAAAAGGAAGGAAATTCTGACACATGTTACAACATGGGTGAACTTTTTTTTTTTTTTTAGATGGAGTCTCACTCTGTCACGCAGGCTGGAGTACAACGGCGCCATCTCAGCTCACTGCAACCTCCACCTCCCGGGTTCAAGCGATTCTTCTGTCTCAGCCTCTTAAGTAGCTGGGATTACAGGTGCACACCACCACACCTGGCTAATTTTTGTATTTTTAATAGAGACGCGGTTTCACCACATTGGCCAGGCTGGTCTCAAACTCCTGATCTCAGGTGATCCGCCTGCCTTGGCCTCTGAAAGTGCTGGGATTACAGGCATGAGCCACCACGCCTGGCCAACATGGATGAACCTTGAGGCCATTATGTTAAGTAAAGTAAGCCAGACACAAAAGGACAAATATGATACGATTCCATTTATGTGAAGTACCAGAGTGGTTAAATTCAGAGAGACAAAAAGTAGTGGTTGCCAGGGGCTGAGGAAAGCAGGGAAGAGTATAAGGTTTCAGTTCTGTAGATGAAAAAGGTTCTTGGGTGAACGATGGTGGTGATGGTTGTACAACATTGTGAATGTACTTAATGCCACTGAACTGCACACTTAAAAATGGTTGAGACTACAAACTGAGTTCAGTGTATGCTGCTCGAGTGATGGGTGCACCAAATTCTCACAAATCACCACTAAAGAACTTACTCATGTAACTAAATACCACCAGTTCCCCAAAAACCTACGGAGATATAAAAAAATTTTCAAAAATGGTTGAGATAATAAATGTATGTGCATTTTACTACAATGCTTTAAAAAAGAAACTGTCTCACTTAAAGTGACAATAGTATCCCTTTGAAAGATGCTGCTAGACCATCTAAAAATGGTCAAATATACACATATTTGGTTATAAGAAGCTCATGTGTATCTGCAAGACCTGTCTAAGTTGACTAGTGTGTTTGTCATACTTGTCTAGGTTTTTCCCCTTTGTCTAAGTTGACAAAGAAACCTTTAAAATCAGGAAACCTTTAAAATAAGGTTAGGAAACATGTCCACAGAGCAGCCATGGATCAAAGGAATCACATCATTATTATTATTATTATTCCGTTTTTTTGTTTTTGAGATGGAGTATCCCGCTGTCACCAGGCTGGAGTGCAGTGGTGCGATCTTGGCTCACTGCAACCTCCACCTCCCAGGTTCAAGTGATTCACCTGCCTCACCCTCCCAAGTAGCTGGCACTACAGGCACGCGCCACCACGCCCAGCTAATTTTTATATTTTTAGTAGAGACAGGGTTTCACCATGTTGACCAGGATAGTCTTGATCTCTTGACCTCGTGATCCACCCGCCTTGGCCTCCCGAAGTGTTGGGATTCCAGGCGTGAGCCACCGCGCCCGGTCAGGAATCACATTATTAAATAGTGCCATTAGCTTCATAACATTCCATTTATTTATAGTAATTAACTTATAAATGACTTCTCATCAATAAAATGGCCTAAGGGGCAACACTCTGGAATTTCCAGCTTCAAATGATACTTTCAAGTTTCAGAGGGAAACTGGGGAGGAGGAGTTCCTACCTTGTAGATGCAGGACTTTGCGTTCAGAAAGAAAAGCTCAATGGTAGCATTATCCTTCAGGTATGAAATGCTTTCAATATAGAACCTGAAAGAGAAAAATGGTGCATGAACCACAGAAACAGCAGGCACAGAAAATAAAGTGGTCTCTTCAGCTACATGATTTGAGACGAAAGCTGGCACTCCCCATCCTAAACAAACAAAGGAGAAAGGCACCATCCATGGTTTTTCTATGATTCCCTATGGAGGACAAACAGTGCTTCTGCAGTTTGGATAGTGGGTTAGGACTGTCATGCCTAGTGGGCCTCACCATAGCCAAAGAACCGGGTCTGCCACCAACTTGTAAGAACGAATTTGTCCTATCTGCTTTTTAATTTTACATAATGTTATTTGTTTTCAACACATTGCTTGTTTGTCCTAAACTGTCATTGAGTTGGATTTTCTTTTCTTTTTTTTTTTAGAGAGACAGGGTCTCGCTCTGTTGTCCAGGCTGGAGTGCAATGGTGTGATTGTGGTGGTTCACTGCAGCCTTGACCTCCCAGGCTCAAGCAATCTTCCCATCTCAGCTTCCTGAGTAGCTGAGACTACACTTGCATACCACCACACCCGACTAATTTTTTTTTTTTTTTTTCCAGTAGATGTGCAGTCTTGCTTTGTTGCTCAGGCTGGGCTCAAATTATCTGCCCACCTCAGCCTCCCGAAATGCTGCGGTTATAGATGTGGGCCACCGTGCCCAGCCAAGTTGCATTTTTAAAAGATAATTTCTTCTTCTTAATCACAGCTTTCTTTGAAATGGTTACTACTACTCCCGAAGGTGATAAAGTGTGATTTGATTTCTGCACATTCGGAGAGCTGAGCTAAGTGTTCTTAACACTGCGATATTAATGCATATTAAGCCAAATGAGAATCGGATTTCATCTAGATGGAGCTTATAGATATTTTCAAGATGAAACATGCTGATACTATTTAAGTTTACACTAAATGTGCCTTTATAATATTGACTTTGGAGTTTATTAAATTCTTTAATGAGATAATGTGCTTGTACTGTCTAATGACCAGCCACACTGAAGGACTAGGAGTTGAAAGGAAGAGGAGAGAACGGTTGAAATGCAGCATCTTAGAGGGAAGAAGGTTCTGAGCAGGTGTGGCAACCCTTACGGTGGACTAGGAGGGTGCTGGGTACCTGGGGGCTCTTGGAAACTGGGTTCACCAAGAAGAGGCAGAAGATGAGGAAGGTGAAATGAGAAGAAACAAGTACTACGGTTTTCTAGAACAGTGTCATCATCTGATGGCCAGAATCCTCTGGAGGGAGTCAGCGAGCAGTGATGTAGTCCCCAGCTCTGTGTGACTCAGGGCAGTCACATCATCCTGCCAGGCTTCTGTTATTCAGACTGTAAAAGAAGAGGTGGTTCTCTACCTAAGAAGCCCACTGGTTTTCAATATTGGAAACTACCTCCCATTTAAATGACAACAACAGCAGCAAAAACGAGAAACCAACATCGTATAAAGCAAACAAAATGATGCCCTTAGCTTCAAGAAGTTCTATTTATTTACAGTAATTCATTTAAAAATGACTTCTTCTAATCAACAAAATCACCTGAGGGGCAACAGCTTGGAATTTTCAGCTTCAAATGATACTTTCAGATTCCAGTGGGAAATGGAAGAGGAAGAGAGTTCCTACATTGTAGATACAGGACTTCATGTGTCTTTTCAGAAAGGAAAGCTCAGTGGTAGCGTTACCCTTCAGGTATGGTAAAACATAAAAGGATTTATCCATAATTGGTCAAGCACAGCGGCTCATACCTGTAATCCCAGCACTTTGGGAGGCCGAGGTTGGGGGAATCACCTGAGGTCAGGAGTTCAAAACCAGCCTGGCCAACATGGTGAAATCCCCGTCTCTACTAAAAATACAAAAATTAGCTAGGAGTGGTGGTGGGTGCCTGCAATCCTAGCTACTTGGGAGGCTGAAGTAGGAGAATTGCTTGAATCTGGGAGGGGGAGTTTACAGTGAACTGAGATGGTGCCACTGCACTCCAGCCTAGACAACAGAGTGAGACTCTACCTCAAAATATATATATATATATCCTTTACCATCCCTGAAGGATAATGCTACTGTTGGAGAAACACGAAGATAAAAACCCATGTCTATAGGCTACATCAAGCCCATGGCCCACCAGCTTGCAACCTTTTGTCTATACACTAAATAAATAAATAATACTTTCTATCATTTTTCAAATGTGTGCAGAGGCTGCTGTGATGAATACAATTCAAGTTTTTTTAAATTGGTGAGTGAATTCGGAGTAACTTCAGACATAAGATTTTCTCAATCCACAGACATCATTAGTACAATTATTATCATCTCAGGTTCTATAAAATTTGGAGGAATTACACAGTGGTCCTCATACTTGTAAAGCCTGAAAATTAATGGACTGGCTGATCTCTGCCCATAACCCCTGCCCCTGCCAAGCACTTGCCCCCTGCTTCTGGAGCAGGTGTCTTAGATCACAGAGGTCTCCATATAGGGCCCACCATGGTCTCAGAGGCACAGTAAAGTTAAACAACTTTTATTCTTTAAGAATGGGGAGCAGAATGGCAGTAGCAAATTTTACATCTCAAAGCAAAATAAATTTGATTTGATTTGATTTTCAAAAAATAAATCTATACGGTAGCTCATGCCTGTAATCCCAGCACTTTGGGAGGCGGAAGCACATGGATCAACTGAGGTTAGGAGTTCAAGACCAGCCTGGCCAAGGTGGTGAAACCCTGTCTCTACTAAAAATACAAAAATTAGCTGGGCATGGTGGCAGACACCTGTAATCCCAGCTACTCGGGAGGCTGAGGCAGGAGAATTGCTTGAACCCGGGAGGTGGAGGTTGCAGTGAGCTAAGATCGCACCATTGCACTCCAGCCTGGGCAACAAGAGTGAAACTCTGTCTCAAAAATAAATAAATAAATCCACAGCCTTTGCAAAGGGCCTTTGGCAAAGGGTAGTCAGATTAACAAAAGAAACTAAAGGAAGGAAAATAAGGAAAAGGGAGGAAAGGGAGAGAAAGGGGAGGGAAGGAAGAGAGAAAGAAATCCTAATACTGGAATATTAGCAGAGGCCTCCTGAAGTTGACAGCGGCCTTCGTGCTCTAATAATGATTTTGAGTCTAAATTCGTATAAGGTCTGAAATAACTTAATTTTCAAAGTAATGCCATATGTTTCTTAAAAGAATCTCATTTGCTTTAGTTCTTAAAAATTAAAGAGTAAAGCATCCTGCCTCTTCCACCCCAATTTTCTCCTGAATAGTGTATTAAGAAAATGTAACGCTTCCCTTTTCGTTTCCACCCTCAAATGATGGAAAACTGAATTCAGGTGGCAAATTCTACATCTCCGCAACTGCCTTCATTTCCACCGAGCTCTATGTTGTCTGGCCATAAAAGGGGCAGAGAAGGTACAGGAAATAACACGCACATTCTGAGATGAAGAAAAAAATCACCTCCTCTCGACAGAAGTGGAAAGCAGTTTCCTGTTAACTTTTATCACCAAGACGACAGCCTGGAAAACCCAGGGAGTTCCGGGCCTGTCATATCATTGCACTATTAGGGGAGGGTATGGAGCTCATCCCAAACTTTCCCTCCACGCCAGTGAACTGCTGAGTCAAAAATGCCTGCAGAGAAAAAGAGCTCAGACCTCTCCACCCACACGCCCAGAGAGGCACGGTGCACACCGGGGGCACCAGGGACAAAAGTCTTTTGGGAAGATGGGGAGGGCTGATGGCTTGGATTCAAAGTCAAAATTTTCTTCTTCTTCTTCCTTTCTTTCTTTCTTCTTTCTTCTTCTTCTTCCTTCTTTCTTCTTCCTTCTTCTTTCTTCTTCTCCTTCTCCTTCTTTTGAGATGGGGTCTTGCTCTGTCACTCAGGCTGGAGTGCAGTGTGCAACCACAGTTAATTGCAGCCTCGACCTCCTGAGCTCAAGTGACCGTTCTGCCTAAGCCTCCCAAATAGCTGGGACTACAGATATAAGCCACCATGCTGACTGATTTTTTATTTTCTGTCTAGATGTGGTCTTGCTATGTTGCCCAGGCTGGTCTTGAACTCCTAAGCTCAAGTAATCGTCCCACCTTAACCTCCCAAAGTACTGGGATTACAGGCCAGCCTCTTCGTTTCTTTTTTTTTTTTTTTTAAATCCAGTGTTTGGCCAGGCATAGTTTTTGGCCGGACATGCCTGTAATCCCAGCACTTTGGGAGGCTGAGGCAGGCAGATCTGTCTCAAAAAAAAAAAAAAAAAAAGGTAGGTTCTTTTTCTGATTTTCAGGACAGCCTCAGCAGTAGGTGGCGATGTTGCATTTCCTTAACTACCAGCGTGGAGCAGGGAGGGCTTCCAAGGTTCACAAAGAACATTCCAGGTCTCTGGGTAACCAGGGAAATGAAGGCTGTGTGTCAGATTCAGAGGGTCTGCACGGACAGTTCCGAGTCTGGCTGTGTACTGACCATGGCTTTATGATGCTTGGATGTCTGCGGCTTTGCTGGGCCTGGAGGGACTGCTGGTGCCAGCGTTAGCCAATTTCCAGACCCCAAGACTTCCACATGTCACCATGGATCCAGGGTCCACCCCTCCCGCCACCTCTCGGCTCTCACACCCAGGGCCACTATTCCTCCACCCTCACCACCCCAGGGACATGCACCAGACAACTAGGGCCAGCTCCCATGCCGCAGAGCCCGCTGAAATTATTTAAACTGGCCAATCCCAAGCCTACTCTCCAAGCCTTACTTGTTCCTCCCCACAGAAACCACAAAAAATGCTCTTGCCAATTGTTCCCCGGCTCCCCTATCTCCTGACTAACCCCAGTGCCTCCCACGTGGCCCTGCGTGGCACGGTGTGGCCCCTCCTCCCAGGAACTGAGTGATGATCTTTTCAATGTCTGTCCTCTCCTCATCGGCTGGCCTCGCCACAGCTGAATCATAATCAGACCTACATTTTAAACTGGTTTTTGGGGTACATTTAGCAGGACTGAATCTTGGGGCACATATGTGAGCTGAAAGGAACACTCTAGATGGAGCACAGACCTCGCTAAGAGGTTTCCTGACTCCACAAGCAACCGT